AAGTCGTAGCAGCAACCTGCTTTGGGTCAGGGGCTTTAAAGTGGGCAGTACCATTTCCCCGGGATTAGAGATGTGACTTTGGTCCTCTTGAAAGCATTCCCACGTTTGGCCAAGCTAACAGTCTCTGAAGAGTTGCAATATATGCACGCTGGTTTTGAAAACTAAGTTCTCAAGACATTCTCTTGATATTGAGTATCCAGCAGGTCAGTTTTGGGGACTGTAGTTAAGTTCTGAAGAGGAGTTTTATTCCACCCAGGTTCAGATGCTTAACTGAATTTGGGCAGCAGATAATTTGTCTATTTTGATAGTCAAAAGGTTTCTGCCTTGCTAGTGACCTAAAGGAGGAACATCCTGCTTCCACAATATAGCCAGTCTTTGGGTATTTCTTTTTTAATTCCTTATTTTTAAAACAGACCATTGGAAACAGCTTTGTAAAGCTGAGTATATTTAGCAAATCTCTTCTGGCTTGCTGGGAAAGAAGAGTTTGTATACTTTAAACTGTGCAGTCCTTCTTAGGTACAGCTGAGGGTTTTCTAACTTTTTAATTCTTGAGTTTCTGGTGTATATATAGAAGAAATATATACATCATGGTGATAAACGTTGACAGTAGGAGCAATAAATTGAGCCCCAGTCTTGACATCTCTTACTGAAGATTCTAATTTGATGAATAATATGGAGTGCTTAATTCTCTAAGAGTGAAGTGGAAAACTATCTTAACACCTTTTGAATTAACTTAGCGGTTGCACTAGAGATCTGTGTTGTCACCTGCAGAGTTGACTTTTTGAAGATGAGGTCTTAGGTCATTGGTACACCCTATCTACTGAAGCATGAATACAACATGTCCAGGAAGCCTCAGCTTCTCTATTAGACAGATACGACATAATCCATTGCTACATAATCTGTCTGATAAGTAAAACTACATGCCAAGCAGCCCATATTTTGTATGTAGCAAGAGCTATTTTCCAGCTGAGAGATCCACTGGTTTATAATGTGGCAGGGCTTTGGACTAGCTTGCAACTCCTAAGGATGCTGGCTGCCTAGGGTTTCTCAGAAGGACACCCTTCTCTGGGGGCTCCTAGCACCTGTGTGCTTTGCCATGTTTAGTAATTTCAGACTTCTTTTTTTTTAAACCAGGATTTTATTTTATTTTTTGCCTACTTCGAAAAGGAGAAATGATTTTGTGGTTTAGAACAGAAAGAAGATCTGGAGCCTAGCACAGGCTCTTTCCCACTCTCTCAGGAGAACATGAAACTGCCTAAAGCCGCCTCCATGTCTTGCTAGCTTTCTACAAAAAGGTAGCAATACTTACTGAAAGGAGAGATCTAAGAGGAAAGAGTTTTTACAAATACATGTCTATGAATTTATTTCACTTAGCATATGAAAAACTGCATTTGTAGATGTGTATTCCAGAACAATTCCATTGATCCAAGTGTGTGAGAGACTGAAAATAAACAACAATAGTTGTAAACAAACAACATAATTATGTTGAGTGCTTTCTTCAGCTTCACTAAGAACATTTTGCATTTCAGTTGTCAATGTGTAAGTTGTGGTAGTTTGTTTAGCTACAGTGGGGAGTGTAAGCTTGAGTTGGAATTGTTAATGACAATAATAACAAAACCAACTAAACAAAATCCCCAGGCAAACCGAAACGCAAACCTTCTGCCTGGATAGGGGAACTTGTTGGTGCTGAGGGCTTCAGGCTAGTGAGATCCTGTTGGTTTTGGCAGGACAGCTAACTTTGCCTGATATGTAGGGACACAAATAAAAGTTAGAAGTGGTGGAAAGAAGAGCAGAGTTCACATTTGCTGGTGGCCCCAGTGGTCTCCATATGGGTGGGTTTTGCAAAATGAACGACAAGGTCAGGGTGGACTGCGAAGTTAGTAATAGCCTGTGGCCTGTGAGGCATTTTATTGAGGATTATTATTATTTTATTTTCTTCTTTAAATCCCATGTTTCTTTCCCTCATTTACTTCCCTGTTTACCCTAATCACTGGATTTTCCCCTGTAACCATAGTCTCTTCTGCCTTCCTTCTAAAATTCTTTCTTGCCCTTCTCTCCCCCAGTGTTCACTCCCTCCCTCCATCTTTCTTCCACCCCCATTTCATTTTTTTTCTCATTTCCCATGAAGCCTCTCTCTTCCTTCCTCTTTCACAACCAGCCATTTCACTTTCCAACCTTCCACTCCCATTTTCTTTCCTTCTCTTGAGCTCTTTCCTCATATCTTGAACTCTGCTTTCCTTGGTTCCTCCCATATTTTTAATTTTTTTTCCCCAGTTTGTCTTTCCTCTCCCTTCTCCTTGTATTGCTTCCCTCTCACATTGAGGCTTTCCTGGTGGCATCTCTTCCTTCACCCTCCTGGTAGAAGTGATGGGTAGAGGAGGTATGGCAGCTGCCTGGGATGTGGCCGTGAGCACACAGGCCATGGCAGTGGTAGGGATGAAGTGCACCAAATTCTTCTGTCCCCACCGTGTTTGCGCCTGACTTCTACCGAAGGCGTGACCTCCTTCAGAAAGGTCTCGACGCTGTCTCTCCTAAGCCCGCATCAGTAGAAAGTGCTTAAGTGCTCAGTGCCTCTTGAGAAATCAGGTAGTGTCGTGATTTTTGACAAGACAAAGATTTTGGAGACAAACTTTCCATGCTTCCCTTTCTTTAGAAAATGTTCATGTAGTAAGAAGATAGGAAATAGGATGACGTGATATTTTGCCCCTCTTCTGCCCTCTGCCCCCCAAACACTTTTTGGTATTAATTCTTGCAGCAGTCTCACAAATCCTGAATGTGAGTCTGCTGTGCACATTTATTTTTTAAAACCATGGCTACTGCCATTTATATACTGCATGCTGCTTGCTTTGCCGCCATGTGCAATGTCTGGTTTTCTTCAGTCTTAACACCTACTACTTGAGAAACGACTTTGTCACTTTTAGTAGTATGCAGCCCGGCAGAGTATTACTACTTGTGACTTTCAGCAGCGTGCCGTATAACATTTACCCTTTTCCCAAAATTTCAGTCTCTCTCCTACATCTATTACTGAAAACCGTTACTGACACTTCTGAATTGGAATGGGTGGCTCTAGGGAGAATATTTCCTCTTCTACATTTAGCTGGCTAAATCATCAGCTCAACAAGCTCTTGTGGAGAGGCTCTCCTTGTCTTTCCCCCTCTTTTTTTCTTTTCATCATTTATGAGTATTTTCTCACCTCTTTGTATGTTTTCAGCTTAACCTCACTCTTCATTGAAGCTGTGGGACAACATTGATATAATATTTAATTTGAGGAATATTTAATTCATGTACTGCACTACTGTTATGTAGAATTACTTAAAAATTCTCTTGCAAGTCGTTATTCTTGATGACCAGGTAAAGCTAGCTAAGTATCCTCCACACCCATCTTATTAGCATTGCTTTACCATTATTCATGCAAGCAGTAGCAAATTTTGTTGTAGGTATCAGTCACGTAGTAAAGCCCTTTCTGGTAGCATTGCTAAGTAATAGAAGAGCCTTTTAATGTGAAGATCTGGAAGTCAGAACGGGAATCTGTTCCTGAAACTCTGTGAGTAATTCTTACTCGCATTACTAACAATACTGACTTCAATTAAATCGGATGAATCCAAGCACAGAATGATAATTATTCTGGCATGGGAAAGCTGACAGTGTTTTTAGAGCTATTTTTACTGATGCATTTTAAACCTCACTTATTCCAGTCCTTCTCCCTTTCTTTATTCTTCTTGCACAAAAATAATTTCTGGACTGTTTCTGGCTGGTATCTGCAAAGCGAGGGTTGTGTTCCTTTGAAGCTGAATAGAAGGAAACATCATGACTGGGGTTTCACTGTCTGTGTATAAAATATAGTTATTTATTTAAAATATTTGTAATATGTAATGCTTTGATTTTTCAAATCTGTTTATCTATAAAATATCCCAGGCATTTTGTCGTCCCCAAATACCTTAAGTTCCATATTTAAGTCTTAGATTTTGATGCTGAACCATGTATTTGTAAAGGTACATGAAAGCAAATTTAATCAAAGGAAAATTTAGATAAAGACCGCTTCAAATTAGAAAGAACTCATTAGAGCATGATGACTTAGAGTGGTGAGCCCTTTCATGAAGCGTTTATGAAACTGCTTTTAGCTTAACAGGGAAACTAACTCTCGATATGGAAGGGAGTTTTTTCCTGTAATTTTGGAATGACATTTGGTTGGTTGGTTGGTTGTTTTTTTTTTTTTCCCTTGAGAAACAGAGAGGGAGAGAGACAAAAAAATCTGAACAGAATACTCCCATTTTAATTTCTAAGGAAGAACAAATAACAAGTAACAGCTTATAATGTAGTAACACAATCTGAAGGGCCAAATGATAAATTAATGGCAATGGGTTCTTGTATATTGTTTTGGAGACTAAGCACATTAGATTGAATTGTTTCACAACCAGCATGCCTAATTATTGTGTCTGCCACATTCATCTATTTAAATCATTCCCAACTTTTGGATTGCTGCCTAGAATATTACTGCAATACGTGTTTCAACTGGTTATTCCCTTGTCATGCGTAACTTCACAAAGGAGGCTGATTTTGTTTGGAAAAAAGAAGTACAAGTGAGCATTGGCAGTATGTTTATAGTATCTGATAAAAAGGGATGATAGGTTTCATAATGTTGATTTGAATGAGTTGCACATGAACTGATACTGTATTTGTTTTGTCAGGTCAGTGACTTAAAAAGTGCCTTTGTCAAGTCACTTTTATGAGCGAGGACTGCTACGCCCGTGTACGCAAAATCCCATCTTTGCCAGCCAGACATTGCCTTCACCTTACACCTGGCAGAAGATACCTCAGCTCTCTCCATTTGCCAATTAGTTGATGGGAAACTGAAAGCAGAAAAAGAGGAAGAAGAAAGGTTGTTACTCCTGGGACATGAACAAATGACTGCATTGCTTTTCTTGTGTGATCAATACCAGCAAGCGACCGTCAGAGGGTTAACATTCTATCGAGGAGTGCTGTTGCATTGAAGGACCTTGGCTTAAAACTGGTGCATCCGTGATACAATCAACAAGACCACGTGTTTTACAGACAGAAATGCGACTGAGCATGGTTTTTCCCAGCCAAAAGTCTACAAGCGGGACTTAATGATTGACTGCTTGCTGATAAACTTTCGCTGTGTATTCTGTTCTGTGTGCATTGGACATCGTTAATCATCCCCTGCCTTTTTTTAAACTTTCTTTTCAATTGGAATTGAAATTAATTTTTGGTGGTTAGGTTCCCCCCCCCCTTTTTCTCTCCCTTCCCTTCATCATTAGTTTTGGAAATTTCTTCAGCATAATTCACTTGACAGCAATTTACAAATTTGAAATCAGCTTTTCATCATGGCTTTGAATGTTGCTCCCGTAAGAGATACGAAATGGCTAACATTAGAAGTGTGTAGGCAATTTCAGAGGGGAACTTGTTCACGCTCTGATGAAGAATGCAAATTTGCACACCCCCCTAAAAGTTGCCAGGTTGAAAATGGAAGAGTAATTGCCTGCTTTGATTCCTTAAAGGTAAGGAAAAAAAATTGCATGTGTAGTGAAAATGCTGGTATATTGTACTGAAAGTAAAATGTGAAATGATGAGTTACAGCTAAACCAGGTTAATCAGAAAGTCATTTTGTCCTTCATAAGATGTATATTAATATAAACATTATTTGTCATAACTTTTATTTATTGAAGCTTTGAAAATATTTCTTTCTAAGGCATTTCTTTTCTAGTCTCAATATGTTGTTTATAAAAATTGCATATGACTGTGGGATACAGGATTGTTTACAGCTGGTGGAACAATTGTATTTTCCCAAGTACATTTTATGAATGATCATTGTGTTATGGTGAATGAAAATATATGGTGGCACAGTACTAGGCCATTACCAGAGACCTAATGAAACATACGAAAAGAGTGCAGATTCTTTCGTTTAAATCGACAGAAGTGAGAAAAGTCTGGCCACTACTTCAATTTTGTCACAACAGGTTGTTTAGCCTTGCTATTGGGGACTCTCAGATAAGTTAATAGCATTGATAATTACATGTATGGATAGTGCAGATAGCAGCCTGAGTTTAGAACAGAGTGAAGGGATCCTCTCCTTTGGAGGATATTTAGCAATTGCATTGTTAGACCATCAACAACAACTGACTTCCTAATGACATCAGACATGCTTTAGAAAACTATTTTAAAAGTTCTGTGAAAATACTTTGTGTACTGCATAAAAAAAGATTAATGACCCTGTGGGATTTGGGGAGTACACAGTGTTTTCTGCGATGACACATTTGTGTTCTCATGTCAACAGAAGGAAAAAGCTCATTTCATATAAATATTTAAAGGGAAAAATTGAGCATTTCAGATTTTATTTTGAAAGTTTTAGTTGTGGCGTAGGGTGCTTGCAGCAGAGGTGCCAGCTATTCGAGCTGGAGACTTTTGTGCAGGGTTGGTTATCGCCTGCAAATACAAACTGGAGTCACAACCTTAAGCTAATAATACCATGAAAAGAAATCCCGTGGGATCACTGTGGATAACTTACTGACAACCAGCATCATTGCTCAGTGGAGAGAAGTCCAAAACCACATGAAAAATGTAGTCGAAGCAAGCAGGCATGTTTTGCCCTAGTGAGGGAGGGCACACCAGCTCTGAGGGGCCTGCTTGCTGCAGCCTGGCTCTGGCGGCTGAAGTGATGCTGCTTCATCCCACTTCCCATCATCACCGTCTTCCCAGCCGGCGGAAGGGGCCTCCTGTCTTGCATTTTCTAGCTGAGTCTGTTGGGTTAAATTGGCAGTAAAGCTGGGATTATACCAAGAAACCAAACCATGGCCAGAAGCAGCAGAGGTGGAAGTACAAGTTTCTTCCCACCGACCCTGCTGGAGGCAGAGGGAGATCTGATAACGGTAGAACAACGTCTTCCATTGCCACAGCTCCTCGCCGCTGAGCATGAGTCAGAGCCATGCGTTTCGGTGTGCTGCCGGACCCCTCAGTGCATAAAAAGCTTTTAGGGATCATTGCGAGTGCATGGCTCTTGGCTATGTCAGCTGGTGTCCTTGCTTCCATTACCTTCGTTATTCAGAATGGTGTTTGTAAATCGCCATATGTACGGCGAGAACATGCCTGCTTAGCTCAGTTTGCATATACTGCTGGTTGAAGGACTTATGTCATTAGTCGCATAAATCTACTTGATGCATAGCTCTCGGAAATACTGATGTTAATCATACAGTTTCAGAATAACACTTTGGCACTCAACAAGCAGGATAACGTTTCATGTAAATAAACAAACAGTATGGTCTAGAATTATAGATAAAATCAGAATTTAATTAAAAAAACAAGAGCTGTTTTCCTTGCTGAACACTGAATCACACTTTAATGCAGGCAATTATTTAGAGTTTATTTACATAATATCTAGAGCTTTGGAGACTTAGCGTTTTAACTGTCTTAGTTCGGTGTACCTGCTGTAAAAATAAATTATGGTGAGTACATTGAGTCTCTTTGAATAAACATCTTCCGACCTAGAGAAGACACAGAATTTTTTTAGTCTCAGATTGAGGTATGTGTTACATTTAGGTGACGCCTGGTAGTTACAGCTGCTCCCTAAGTAGTCAGTCAAACACAAGATACAGCACCCTGAGACAGGCTCTCCTTTAACCGCTGATCAACCAGAAGAGCCCCTGTTTGGGGAAGGGATGTGCGCTCTCCTGCGTGCCACCTTCTTTCCAGATTTCCAGGATAGATGAGGAAGCGCGGTACCAGTATCTGCCAGCTGATTCAGAGTGCCAAAGCACCAGTATGGAGCTACTGGAGAGAGTCCAGCGCAGGGCCGCAAGGGTGATGAAGGGACTGGTGCATCTTTCCCACGAGGAGAGGCTGACAGAGCTGGGACTGTTCAGCCTGGAGAAGAGAAGGTTCAGGGGCATCTCCTCAGTGTACATAAATACCTGAAGGGAGGGTGCAAAGAGGACAGAGCCAGGCTCTGCTCAGTGGTGCCCAGTGACAGGACCAGAGGCAACGGGCACAACCTGGCATACTGGAGGTTCCTTCTGAACCTAAGGAAACACTTTTTCACTGTGAGGGGGACTGAGCACTGGCATAGGTTGCCCAGGGAGGTTGTGGAGTCTCCATCCTTGGAGATACTACAAAACTGCTTGGACATGGTCCTTGAGAAATCTGCTCTAGGTGGCCCTGCTTGAGCAGGGGTTTGGACCAGGTGACCTCCAGAGGTACCTTTCAACTTCAGCCATCCTGTGATTGTGCGAGCAGAGGCATCTTCAGACTGACTTGCCCGTAGCCTGTTCTAAGCTAGCAATAGCTGGTGTTGGGACTGAAGGAAATAATCCCAGCCAGGGATGCCCACCTCCATGCTGTGCCACATCCTCTGTTGTGCTCCCACTGCTGTTTTTGTGATTGTGCGGTGCACCAAGTTGGGAAATTGATTGTGGTTAAATCTAAGTTGTTGTTGTAGCTGCTGCTGACAGAAAGGAGAGGGGTTGTATGGGACCAGCAGAGCTCTGGGTTACTTCTGCCGGTGATAGTGCTGTAGCCTTGCGCCAGGCTTCTGGAGTAGCGTGATTGCATCAGAATCCCAATTTTCCAAGTTAAAGAAGGATCTTTGTAGGTCTGTTAGTTGCCAGTAAAAGGTCAACAGAATTTAGCGGACACTGTTTGCTTTTTAACTCTGAAGGGATTTTTGGCTCCAAATACCTGTCCTTGCAACAATTGACTTTAAACCCAGCAAAAGTTGCAACAGCAGCCTATTGGATTGATGACAGTTTTGAGGATACAAAATGATAACTGTTGAAGACTGTCTGAGCTCTGAATATCCTTCATCTGTGAGATGCTCCAGGCTAGACAGAAATAGCTAAAGACTAATGAGCCTGGTTCAGATTCAGGCCAGAAACTTGCTGATTTCAAACCAGGTTCTGCTGCATGGGCTTCTGAGATGTGGCTCAGCATTTGTTTCTCACTCTTTGGTGAAGGACAGAGCCTGATCTGTCCTAAAGACGACACTTTTGGAGGGGCTAAGAGAGTGTAGGCGCATCATTCCTGTGCAGTCAGCCAGATGCATGCCAGTTAGCCGGTCATAGCATCACCTCCAGCGATGGGGCTCCCTCCAGCAGAAGCTCCCCATAACCTGGCCAGCTTGTGTGGCCACATGGGCACACCCAAAATTGTACTGGCCAAGTGGCCTCGGTGAGCTTAATGTGAGGATGAAAGTGTCTCTGAGCTATCTGGCTGACTGTGCCTGAGGTGGATGAAGGGGTGCTTCCATGGCCAGGCCCGTTGCCCTGCTGCTGGGGGGAAGATTAGAGGATGCCAAGGAAGCACTGCCAGAGCCGGAGCCTCATCTGCTGTCTGAAACCCTCACGAAGCCTCTTTGGAGCCCTTGCAGGCTCCCCTTTGGATGCTGCAGTGTTTGTGCAGTGGGAAGGGTTTGTAAAGAAGCCTGTCCTACTGGGAAGGTTGAATTTCAGGAGCTGCTCTGTTTATATTTTTATACGTCTTGCTGGGTTCAAATAGCTTAATTTAAAAGTGAAGAACCTGGATATATAACACTTAATAGATCACGTTTAGATCCCTCCTGGTTGGACACTGTAAGCAAACCTGTTTTCAAGGTATTCTTGTCCTGCTAGTAGCAAAGAACAAAATCCTTTCAAAGGAATATTAATTCATAATGTCATGTCTGGGGACAAGAACATGCAACACTTTGCTGTATTTGAGCTTCAATTAAAAAAAACCAACAACATTAAAATGAATGGTGACATCTACGAGAGGGAGAGAGGAAAAGCTTGGCAGATGAGAAAATACGATCATGTGCATTTTGCTGGGAGTTGACTCTCATGTTTGCAGGTTTTAAATTCTGGTGTTATTTCTCGACTTAGATTATGCCCTTTCTGTAGGTCAGCTACTAGAAGGATATGTTGTCTAAGCTAATACAGATAACAGGGGAGGTATCTTGCAGATACTGTCATTGCAAGTTTTATGGTGGTAAGAAGAAAACGAAAGCTTCTTTAGGGCTACAGATGGCTTTTTCTGTATTTTTTAATCTATTTACTAGTGTGTAAACACTTTGAACTGTTCTATTTATTGAGCCAGCAGACTAGTGTGAACTGTTCATTTGCATTTTCATGAAAGCCTTTTAAGAATATGCCTATCTGGTCTCATTTGGCACCACAGAATAAAAAGTAATTGAAAGCTGTACACAGAGACCTGTTTACCAAGTTAAAAAGGTTCCAGGAAAAAAAAGAAATTTTAGGAACATCCACTTTGTTGAAATATCTGGAACTGAAAAGAATCTGTTTAAGATGGCCTCAGCTTTATTTAGAAAAAGGAAAAAAAATGCTTTGTAAAATGAGCAGGCTGTTTGTAAGAGAGTGAGCTCAGAGTTGGGATGCAGTAGGTAGTCCTTTGCCTTCCTGTGATTCTTTTGTGGGCCTCTAAATGTTTTGCAAACATCAAAGATTTGGGATGCTCTCATACTTTGAAGCAGGTGATACCTGCTCTTGCTTGGCATGTGAGGCAGTCTGGACAGACT